CTGAGCTGGGTGGCTTCCTTGCAGACGTTTCATAACCCAACTAGGTAACATCATCAGTGCTAGAAGGAAGGAGGAGGACGGTGGGGTCCTGGGTGCTCCCTGAGCTGGGTGGTTTTCTTGCAGACGTTTCATGACCCAACTAGGGAACATCAGTGCTAGAAGGAAGGAGAGGAGGAGGAGGAAGGAAGGAAGGAAGGAAGGAAGGAAACTATGGGGTCCTTGGTGCTCTCTGAGCTTGATGGTTTTCTTACAGACCTTTCATAACCCAACTAGGTAGCACTATCAGTGCTAGAAGGGGGGGGGTATGTGGAGAGGAGGAGGAAGAGGGGGACTATGGGTTCCCTGGTGCTCTCTGAGCTTGGTGGTTTTCTTGCAGACGTTTCACGACCCAACTAGGGAACATCATCAGTGCTAGAAGGAAGGAGGAGGACTGTGGGGTCCTTGGTACTCCCGGAGCTGGGTGGTTCTCTTACGGACATTTCACGACCCAACTAGGGAACATCATCAGGGCCAGAGGGGAATGTGGGGTTTGCGGAGTGCAGGAGAGGAGGAAGACCTGGGTTCCTTGGTGCTCTCTGATTTGGGTTTTCTTGCAGACCTTTCATCACCAGACTACCTAACGTCATCCGTTCCAGAAGGGGGTGGGGGTTTTGTGGCGTGGAGGAGGAGGAGGACTGTGGGGTGCTCCGATGTTTCATTACCCAACTAGGTAACATCAACAGTGCCAAAGGGAGTGAAGTTTGCGGTGAGAAAGAGAAGGGGAGAAGAACTAACTAACTGTTGGGCCCTTGGTGCTTTCTGAGGTTGGTTATTTTCTTGCAGACGTCTCATGACCCAACTGCGTAACATCATCAGTGCTAGAAGGGACGGGGGGGGGGTTGCAGAGAGGGGGACTGTGGGCTCCTGGGTGCTCTCTGCGCTTGGGTGTTTTCTTGCAGACGTTTCATTACCCAACTAGAGACTATCATCCGTGCTAGAAGGGAATGTGGGGTTTGTGCAGAGGAGGAGGAGGAGGAAGAGGGGGAGAAGAAGAATGAGAAGAGGAGGAAGAGGAGGAAGAAGGAAAGGACTGTGGGCTCCTTTTTGCTCTCTGAGCTTCGTTGTTTCCTTGCAGACGTCTCACGACCCAACTAGGTAACGTCATCAGTGCTAACCAGACATCGTGCTAATGACCTAGAACAGTGGTTCTCAACCTTTTTAATGCCGCGACCCCAACCGGTTGTAAGTCGAGGACTAAACCGGTCATAAGTCGAGGACTAAACCGGTCATAAGTCGAGGACTAAACCGGTTGTAAGTCGAGGACTACCCAATCGGTCGTAAGTCGAGGACTTTCCCTGCCCGGGAGCGCCGTGCATGCGTGGTTCCGCTCCCTGCGTCGGCCGAGGCGTAGCTGGCAAGCGGCAGAGACGGAGCAGGCCGACCACCAGCTGGCCCAGCCCAAGGGAGGTAAGGCACCCGCCGGAAAAGGGGGGAAAAAATGGCAGACAAAAAAAATGGCGGACAGCCTTGCTTGGCGACCCCCGTAAAATGGTCGATCGACCCCAAATGGGGTCCCGACCCACAGGTTGAGAACCACTGACCTAGAAAGTAACTGCACTGACAGGCCGTCCTTGACTTGCAACTACAAGGGAGCCTGCCCATCACAGTCATAAGTTGTGACGGTTGTAAATCGGCCAACCCAATTTTATGACCTCTTATTGTGGTGGTTTTAAGTGAACACGGGAGTCGTAAAATGAAACATGGGCCAGTCTTGCCCCAAACCAGAATTAAATGCCAGTTTTTGGGTCACGTGACTGCAAATGGCTGTGAACGTGGGCCGGTTGCTGAACGCCCAACCTGTCACGTGGCCACGGGGGAAATCGGCCTTTGAAACCAGATTGTAAGTACACCCACCCCCCGGAGGTTCATTGTAACTTCAAGTTGTTTTTAAGCGTCCAGTTGTAGGTTGAGCACCAGTACACACCCTTCCAAAGAGACAATGAAAAAGCTAAGAAGGAAACAAAAGAGACCAGAATGCAGCCTCTCCAACAGCTCATACCCAGACAGACTTTCAAGAAGGAAACGATACTCCAAGGAACCACCAGGGAGAAAAACACACCCTCGTCAACACTGGCAACCCCTTCTAACATTGATGGTGTTATCTAGCTGGGTCATGAAAAGCACCAAGCTCAGAGAACACCAAGGACCCCCATAGTCCTCCTCTTCCTCTTCCTCCTCCTCCTCCAACCCCACATTCCCTTCTAGCACTGATGATGTTACCTAGTTGGGTCATGAAACGTCTACAAGAAAACCACCAAGCTCAGAGAGCACCAAGGACCCCACAGTCGTCGTCCTCCTCCTCCTCCTCTTCTCTAAACTCCACTCCTCTTTAGCCCTGATGATGCTACCTAGCTGGGTCATGAAATGTCTGCAAGCAAACAACCAAGCTGAGAGAGCACCAAGGACCCCCATTCTACTACTACTATTACTACTACTCCTCCTTTCTCTAAAGTCAACTCTCTTCTCGCAGTCATGGTGTTACCTAATTGGATCACAAAATGCCTGCAAGAAACACCCCCCCCCCCAGTTGTCACCCTCCTCTTCCTCCACCACTCCTCCGTCTTCTCCTTGTCTCCTCCTCCTCCCCCCCCAACTCCACTCCTGCTTAGCACCGATGGTGTTACCGAGTTGAGTAACGCGACGTCTGCAGGAAAACAAGCTCGGAGAACACCAGAGACTCTTAACCAGCTGAAACGCTCTTGTCATTTCACTTCCTGACTGATTTGGGTCCAGTCTTTGGGGGGCTTCTTCTGGACCTCCAAAGTTGTGTTTGTTAGCGGGATTTACCCCATCTCTTTTTGTGGATCGGGGGCGGGAATGCTTCTTTGACAGCTCCCTGCCACCCCTTTGGACCTGGCAGATGTCCGAAA